TCTATGTATATTATTATCTATATATACATATATTTTTTATTTTTGCCTTAGCTCTCAGCTTGCTTTTTTTTTTTTTTTTTTTTGTATCTTGGCTGCTAAATGGTGATGGTTTTCAATCTATCTTAGCTGATTCTGTCTGCCGCTGCTTCTTTTTGATGCAGGCTTCACAGCTTTCAGCATTTGAGCTTAGATGGCGAGCCACCACACAGATTGAGCCTCTATATAACTAGGTGAGTTCGCTCACTGCTTCTCTTATTAAAAGGAACATAGAGCTTTGTTCGTTTGGTACTCTGTTTCCAAGTAGTCCATGGAGGGTTCAAATCCTGTGATGGTTTTGGATTCCGACAGTGAGAGTGAACTGAGTATTAGATCCTTGTGCTTGTTGGAAGCGAGTAGTAGACCGAAGTCACAGAAACCTCCTGTGGAGAAGAATCCTGCTTCGGTATTAACTGAGAAAGATGTTTTCGGGATTAAGATAGATTACACTCTGCCGCACGATATCCCGTTGCAAGTCCCATTACCCGAGGAGAGGGCTGACAGAGCAGGTTCTGATGAGATTGTTATCTACGAGGCCTTCTTTTCATCGGGTTTGCGAGAGGCGGTTCCCTCTTTGATAGGCGAGGTTGCTGCACTCCTCAACGTCTCTCCTAGCCAATTCTCCCCATCCATGTGGGCAACGTTGATCACAATTCAAGCTCTTAGAGAGTTGTTCTCTGTTGAGATTGGGTTAGATGAGATTTTTTAGATGAATTGCTCAAGAGAGGAGAACAGGTTCAAAATGCATCCACGCAAGGATACCTTGATCCTGGGTACTGTAGGTCTTGATCGTGATTGGAAGAAAAAATACTTGTTTATGAAAGTCGGCCATAACCCAGGCTTTCCTATTTCTTGGATGCACCGAGGTAGATGTAGCTTATGCCCTTGTCCGTTTTATGAACTTTTAGGTGCACTAACGTTTTCACCTTTTTCTTTGCAGTCATACTCACCGAGCGCTGTGACAAAGGATAAAATAAAGCCGTCCTGGTGATTAAACAATTGGCCGAACATCGTGTCGTGGAGAACCTGATCAGAAAGTTTGTTCTATCTTGCATCTCTATCTATATGGGGTTAGACAGTCTTCTTTCTTTTTCTTTTTGAAAAAGTTCTATGAACCTGGTTTTGAGCTCAAAACTTCGTCACGTTCAGAGCAGATACAATATTTTATCCTCCTCAAACCTTTACAGTGCTACTAACACTCTGTAATTGTGTATGTTGTAGCGAGCCTTTATCTCTACGGTTGACTTCTTCTCAACCTCTGTTTTATTTTATTTTTTTAAATTATTTTCTGTTCACAGGGCGTACTATCATGAAGAACCAGCCAAGACTAGGTGCCAACGCTTTAGACTTGTTTAAAAAAGCCAGCCTAGCCAAACTAGCTGAAATTAGCAAGTCAGAGCAGTCACGTGGACCAGCGCTTAATGCAGGATTGAGCTTCACCAACAATCCTAGTGGAGGATCGAAGGCTGCTAAAAAGAACGACGTGGTGCCGTCACCCTCTCATCGGGCATTAGTTCCATGCTCGGATCCTCTCACACTTGCTGAGGGATAAAAGCATATGTCCTTCCCTCAGGATTTAGAGCACTTGAGTACTATGGGACTAAATGTCATTGTGGAGAAGCTCCAAGCTATTTTAGATAAGGTAATTCACCGTTAAGCCTATAATGTTTAAAGTACAAGTGTCTCAACGCTTTCCATCGCTTTCTTTATGCTTGCTTCGACTTTGACTGCTGCATTTTTATGATACAGGATGTTGCAAGTATCTCCACGACCAATCAGCTTCCATCATGGTGGAACTGAAGTGTGAACACGAGCTCATTGACCGCTTGAGGCAAGAGCTTAGCTTTGAGAGAAAACGTGCCCAAGATGAAAATCCTTTGAGTGTTTCTAAAGATGAACGCATTGGCATTGCACTCTTAGAAGCGAAGGTGCAAGGCCTTGAGTCAGGAATGGATTCCGTGAAAGCCACATCTGCTATGTTGGAAAAGGAGAATGTGTCTCTTAAGGAAGATCTCCTCGCTGCTCATAAGGAGAATTCCTCCTTGAAGGAAGACCTTATGTTTTCTGCAAACAGAGCTACCGTCGTTGCTAGGTGGGAGATCATGAAGGAATGGAAAGATGGGAAAGCTGAGGAGTGGGACTTATCGGCTGCAGAGGAGGAATATAGGGAAGTTAAGACGATAGATATAAGAATCCAAGGCTTGTCTCCACCTGTTTTTGAAGCTCCGGTGCGTGCCCGGATTACTTCCAAAGTCGCAGGTTATGATGTTTTCATGACTTACGTTGCAGAGATTGGTTCTGGTGACCTTGTTCCTCTCGAGCCTGAAGCCGCCACGTGATAAGCGGGCTAACCATTATTATTTTTTAAAAATGTTATGACTTTTTGTAAGCTAAGCGCATGATGAACTCTCCTGCTGGTAGACTCCACTCATGATCGGCTCGTGACTGCCAGAACAGTCACCCGCCTTTATCTTTTTGTCGTTATCCTGACTTTATTGGAGACGTTTTTTGGCATGTTGTGAATACTTCTTATTGCCATTATTTTCACCTTTGCCGTTAGCTTTAGCTGAGGTTCCCATGTTGTTTTAGCGCGATGATCATGAATTGCATTAGTTGTTCATTACTCATGCTGTTTTAGCTTTCCGCATGGAGCCCATGAACTCACTGCTTGATTTGCATGCAAGCCAGAGTTTAACAGCCTGTCTCACACCGCAGTTAGCATCCTACACGTTTTTCGACCGTGGTGTTTTCTGTTGCATTCAACATAAAAAGATCAACGCACGTTTTTATCCTTGTATGGATGCTTGAGTAATTCGCAAGATCCTCATCTGGTTGCCCCGAAAAACTAGTAGAATTAAGTTTCGAATGGGCACTTTGATACCTCACATAACTAATTGATATGTGAAAGATGTATATCAGCTGCTGTATGCAGTCCAAAAAATCAATATACTCAAGCAGTCTAAAAACCAGCATGTGTTTTAGTAATCAAAAAAAATAACATGCTGCCTGAGTCCGTAAAACCAACATGCTGTATAAGCAATCCGAATAATTAATTTAATATTTAAATTGTCTGAAAAATTAGCATACCGCTTAGGCAGTTTACGAAATTAGCTTGCAGGTTTTTAAAATTGTACGCTGCTTTTTGCAGCCTATTTAATTAGCGTGCTACTTTTACAGTTCATGAAATCAGCATGCTGTTTGAGCACCCAATTTAATTAGCTTGTGGCTTTTGCAGTCTATGAAATTAGCATGCTAGTTTTGCACCCTATTTAATCGTCATGCTGCTTTTGCAGCCTATTAATTTACCGTAGTCTTTTGAAATTTTCGCACCGGTTTGGCAGCCTGCAAATTTTTTGTATACTGATTTCTGCAGTCTATTAAATTGATGTGTTACTCTAGCAATCTGAAATTGAAATTTTGCGCAGCTGTTTGGCAACCTGCAAAATTTATGGGTGCTGCTTTTTGCACTCTGTTGGATCGATACGCTGCTATAGCAGTCTGGAATTGAAATTCTGCGCAGCTGTTTGGCAGCCTGCAATTTTCTAGATGCTGTTTTCTGCAGCCTATTGGATCGATATGCTGCTATAACAGTCTGAAATTTAAACTTTGCGCAGCTGTTTGACAGCCTGCAAAATTTTTATATGCTTTGATAGAAGGACTCTAAGTATCACTTATCGTAGGACTGTTTCTATTGCACTATGATTTTCTTAAAAATAGCCTTTATTAAAACATTCTGCGTAATCATGCGGAAAAGCTAAAAGGAAAATAGAAAACCAAAACCAAAACTCTAGACTGTTTGTAGAAAACCAGAAAGTCTAAATTGAACGACCTATCAAAGCTTTAAAGCCTAACCAAATAAATAAATAAATTTAAGAGTAATAGGTTTTTAGATGCAGTGCATTCCAGCTGTTAGGGGGTTCTTGCCTTTCCTATCTTGCAGCTTATACACTCCTGATCCATATACCTCTACGATTTGGTATGGACCCTCCCAATTAGGTCCTAGCTTTCCGGCGCCGTGCTCCATAGTGTTTTGGAAGGTGCACCTAAGTACCCAATCCCCTACTTGAAAGGTTATGGTTCACACTCTTTTGTTGTAGCTTCTTGAAACTTCCTGTTGATAGCACCAATTGCGGATTTGGGTGGACTCTCTCTTTTCATCGAGTAAATCTAACTCGAGATTCATCAGCTCTTCGTTCTCTTGGGGTTGAGGATGTTCTGTGCGACTTGTTTTGACGCTTATCTCAGCGTGCACTACTGCTTCCATTCCATACACCATTGAAAACGGTGTTGCTGACTTGGTTGTCGCGCGGTAAGCCCATAGGACACCAGGTAATTCTTCCACCCAATGTCCTTTGGTCTTGTCTAACAGCTTTTTCAACATTTGAATAATCGTTTTGTTTGATGACTCGGCCTGTCTGTTGGACTGTGGGTGTCTCGGCGTCGCGAAGCTTAGTTTGATTCTCCAAGTGTTGCAAAATTCTTTGAACTTTTTGCTTGTAAACTGGGTGCCATTGTTAGTGACAATCTTGTGCGGAACGCCGAATTTTTATACAACGTTCTTCCATATAAAGTTTCGACCCTCTTTGTATGTGACCTGACTGTAGGCTTCTGCTTCCACCCACTTTGAAAAATAGTCTGGTTCTACTAACAAAAATACTTTTTGTGCAGGGGCTCTAGGTAATTTTCCCACTATATCCATGCCCTACTTCATGGATGGCCATGGTGAGCTGATGGTTTTCAGGTTCTCCGGTGGCAATTTGGGGACTGGAACATGTCGTTTACACATATCGCAGTGACGAACAAAATTCACCGCGTCATTATTCATAGTTGACCAGTAGTATCCAGCTCTTTTTGCTCGTAGCACTAACTTTCTTCCCCCTGAATTAGATCTGCATTCACCTTCATGTAACTCCTTTAGGACTTTATTTGCTTCTTTTGGGTTTAAACACTTCAAACAGGGGCATGAGAAAGATCTACGATATTATCGATTTCGCAGAAGGCAGTAGCGTGCTGCTTGTTACTTGATTCTTCTGCATTCAGAACGGTCAACCGACAGTTTATTATCACGTAGATAGTTGAAAATTGTAGTCACACCAATTAGACGTTTCTTGCACTGTCGCCACTTCTGCAGATGGCAGATCTTTATCGGTGGCAGGCCATTGTAACACAAGTAGTGGGACAGTGAGTGGAGCTTCAGACTTCAAGGCTGACCCGAGGCTAGCTAAGGCGTCTGCATGGTTATTTTCTTCCCTAGGAATTAGTGAAATCGTGCAATTTTCAAACTTTTGCAGCAGCTTTTTGGAGATGCTCAGATACCGCGTCATCTTTAAATCTCAGGCTTAGTAATCGCTTTGCGTTTGGTTGACAACTAACTGTGAGTCGCTGTAGACATTCAGGTTTTGAGCCCCAAGATCATGGGCCAAAATTAATCATGCAATCAGTGCTTCATATTCTGCTTCATTATTTGTGGCTTGAAAATTACCTCTGACGGCTGTCGGAATAGCTCGCCCTATGGTGAGCTAAGGACCATGCCCAGATCGGCTCCTTGCACATTGCTAGACCCATCTACATACAGTTTCCAATTTCCCTTATGCACATCTGCTTGCAACGTTTTGATCTTTTCCTCCACTTCGGGAAGCATATTTGGTGGGAATTCTGCCACAAAGCAAGGACCTGTGACTTGATCGCTCTAGCCGGTCTATATATTACATCATACTCTCCGAGATTGACCGCCCATTTCGCTAATCTCCCAGATATTTCTGGTTTATGTAAAACCGATTTTATAGGAGCTGAACTGACTAACAAAATGGGGTGTGCCTGAAAATATGGACGGAGTTTTTGGGTGGCTGTTATCAGTGATAAGGCGAGCTTCTCTAAAAGACTATATCTCGTTTCTTAATCCAATAGGGATTTGCTGACATAGTATACCAGATGTTGTTTGTTTCCTTCTTCTCGGACCAACACTCTGCTTACAGCATGCTCTGACACCTCCAGATAGAGAAGCAACACTTCTCCGTCTTTGGGCTTTGAAAAAAGAGGTGGTGACATAAGGTATTCTTTTAATTCTCTCAACGATTTCTCGCACTGATCGTCCCATATGAATCCTTGCGACTTTCTCAAGGCGGCAAAGAAAGCATGAGACCTTTCCGAGAGTCTTGAGATGAATATACTTAATGCGGCCATCCTTCCAGTCAGCTTCTGTACCTCTTTCACACTCTTTGATGAAGGAATCACTTAAAGCACCCTGATTTGCTCAGGGTTGGTTTCTATTCCTCGATGAGAAACGATGTATCGAAGGAATTTCCCAGAACTTACACCAAACAAACGTTTTGTTGGATTGAGCTTCATGTTATATCTTTGCAGTGTACTAAACGCTTGATGCAAATGCGTAATGTGATCCTCTGCATGAGTGATTTCAAAATCATGTCGTCAATGTAAACCTCCATAGTGTGACCAATTTGGTCAGCAAACATCATGTATACCAATCTCTGGTAGGTAGAGCCTGCATTTTTTAGACCAAAAGGCATGACTTTATAACAATATATGCCTCGGAAGGTCATGAAATTTTCTCCTGATCACTTGGGTGCATCAGAATCTGATTGTAACCGCTAAATGCATCCATGAAGCTCATTAGCTGATGATCTGTTGTTGCATCCACCAGTTTGTCGATGTGAGGTAAAGGAAACAGATCTTTAGGACATGCCCTGTTAAGGTCTGTAAAATCAATGCATACTCTCCATTTTCCATTCTTTTTGCGAACCACCACCATATTAGCTAATCACGCTGGGTCATGTACTTCGCGTATGAAACCTGCTTTCAACGGGTTTTGAACTTCCTCATTGATGATCATGTCGCGTTCAGGCGCAAATTTCCTTCTTTTTTGTCTCACTGGTTGATGTTCAGGATCAGCTTGAAGCTTGTGCATAATGATCTTGGGATCTATCCCAGGCATGTCAGCATGTGACCATGCGAAGCAATCAGCGTTCGATCGTAGAAAATCAATAAGCCTTTTTCACATGTCCGCCGGCAGCTTCGCATCTACGCTAACCCTTTTATCATGATCGCATTCTACATTAACCTACGTGAAAACACGTCCGCCATCTTCTAGTGTGAAACTAATCGAACATCTTGACAGTTGGTCGCCTACAGCCGCTATATCGTTATGATGATTTCTAGCTGTTCTGGTGCTTTTCCTAGCAGCGGAATGAGTAATTCCGCTAACCTCTGATCCCCCCCATGATAACGTTGATGATACGATCATGTTTTGGCGGAGTGGCTTTTCTTGTGTCCTCTTGTTATTTCTGTCACCGATGTGATTCTTAACTCTGTCGGATATAAATTCTCTTAAGTGACCCTTTTTTAACAGATCGTTCACTTCCATCCTCAATGAAACACAATCTTCTGTTCTATGCCCATGATTGCTATGAAATCGCACCACTTAAATGTGTCTTGCTTTTTGCCTGGTGTCCTCATCTTTTGTGGCCATCTTACCAACCCAGCTATCTGATTGAGCACGTTGACTAGCTAT